AAAAAATATATTTTAGCTAAAATCGGTAAAGCAGAAATAGGTCTATAATTGTTTATAATATCTTTTTTCTCTTTAAAAAAAAAATAGGATACACCTTTGCAATCTTCAATGCATCGAATGGCCGAGCGGTAAGGTAGGGGCGCCGCTAGCTACAGCCTTAACATCGACGCTGGTTCCAGCGCTCCTCGCCCATGGTTCGGTTGGTAGAACCAAGTCTTCTCGGATAAGGACTTAAAATGGAGGTCCAGTGTATACATCTGGCGCTCGTGTGCACTTTAGAGAACCCATTGCATCTTTCGAAAGAGTATGGGGTTACCCCGATGTTATGGTTCATTTCAGCCCCTGTCGTTGTGGAATGATGTGAACATGTATCTACCAAGAAGCGCCTCTTTGCGGCTGCTAGGTAGTCACGGACCACGCCCATACGCAATTTAGCACAATGACCCTGCAAGTTATGTGTTATTCTCCTACCTTTACCTTTACCTTTATCAGGAAAAACTCTACTAATAATTGATTGCATTGAAGATGTGCTCAAGTGGTCTAGAGATAACAAAGGGAGAGTCTTTGACCAAACGTCCATACTTGTAATCATAACCCCATGATTTTTTTTATATCTATATTGTTAATTATACTTTCAATTTCATAATAACAGGTTTCCAAAAGAGGGATGTGGTTACAAGTTTAGAAAAACAAAACAAAAACAAAACAAAACTAGAAAATGGTGAAATATTATTTTGCTCTATTTTACTAGCAAGATCAGGGCCAATATTTACGAAATAGTCATTACAGTACGAGGCACAACCTTGCTAGTTGTTCACCAGTATCTGAAACAATTGTAAGTGTATCAAGATGATTTTGATCAGTGTAATTGGTTCCTTTAAGTAACTTGTTTATATTTTGCCATGTTTTCCCAGTATCACTTTTACAATTACTAAAAACTTTACCATAATGTTTTTTTTGGCCTTTCTAATTACCGTTGTTAAAATATTGTAACGTTCATAAACATCTGTACTAAAGTTTTTTTTACACATTTTGTATACATTTTGTTCCTTTTATTTATGCTTATTTTAACTGCTTTAGTAAGCCAAGGCTTATCCACATGCTGCTTCTTGAGATTGTATTTGTTAATTGGGGCATATCTATCACAGATACTAAAAAAAATAATAGTATTAAAATAGTTATAAGCTGTGTTAGTGCCATTGGTATCGTGCACATCATGCCATTCACAATGCTCTACATCATTAATAAAATTTTCAACTTTATATTTTTTAAAAGTATCTGGACATTAAGATTTTTTTTTCTTTTGCTAATGATCTAATATTTTCAAAGATAGCAAAAATAGGAAAATGGTCTGAAATATCCACATATATCCATTTGTATAAACATGAGCAATTTTTGTAGAGTTGAGAACTTTCCTTGTTGGACTGTTTATAAGTTGAGTCATGCAAATACAATCCATGATAGTGGTAAACTCGTTATTATAGGGGCTGTCATTTGTATCTAAATTAAAATCGTCTAACAGGATACAGTCTACTTTGTCGATGTTATTTTCCTTTAATATATAAATTAGACTATATTGGAATTAATTAACGCATTAACGTTAGTTTTAGGTTTCCGATAAATAATACGGTACCTACTAGTGTTTCTATGTTGTTTTTAATTGTGACTTTTAACCATAGAGACTTAGCATGGGTAACATTAGCTTCTACAATTTTGTAATTTAAGGATGAATGAATGTAAGCACCTACACCACCTCCACGAGAATTTTCACGACAATTAACTTCTAAATTATAATTTTGAATTTATAAAGCTCAGGTTGAGGAATATTCTGAAACACCAATAATACTGAATTTGTATATAATACATGTTTCATAAAAAATTGAGATTGTCAAAAATGTTACTGAGAGAACGAACATTTACATGTGAAACAGAAAAAGCATTTTCCTGATATCTTATAAAATGGTCATCAAATTTATGAGGTTTTTGAACCGAATGTTTGATGTCAAAGAGATTAACTTTATCATCAACGTTATCATTCATTTTGTTTAAGGTAAAGAGAAAAGGGCGCAAGGAAAAAGCAGTACTACAATAGACAAAAGTAAAAATTCACTACAATCCTATACCAAGATCCCAAAGCAATTAAACCCTACGGAGCCTTTAGTTTTATACGAATGTAAATTGGAATTATTCGAACTATTGGATTTACTTTCAAAACATCAATTAAATGTAAAGACATGCTGCCACATAGACTTAAGACTAACAAAGGTTAACCTAAGACCAGATTGTCTCAGGTTTCATATAACACTCACTATAGTGTTAATAGACAAAACTGACATCCATATAATTAGTCAACTGTTTCTTCCATTATGAGCAGCATGAATTTAATAATACAAATGGAAATTTGCTTCAAAATTTGTCTTAACAGTGCACATTTAAGTTATATTTTATTTAGCTCAGTTGCTGTAAGAATGGGTAGTTTAACTTCCCTGAAATTTTTTCCACCGTTGCCATCATTTTCCCATCGACTGTCCACGCACTCTTTTCATGTCTTGCTTCACTTTTGTAAGAAGATGTCGCCTACATAGAGTAAGGTCCTCTTGTATTGAGATGGCACTTCCTTTGAACTTCCTCCGTGCTGTGATAACTCTTTTCCTATTTCTGTTATACGAGTCAGTTTATGTGTTTGCTGCCCTCATGAATTGGTACTCGGCCCTCAAGGCAGAGATGGCTTCAACATGGTGTCTGTAGATATGATACAGCCAATGTGTAGTATGCATGTTTCTTTTTGTTGATCTTAATAAATATTATGAACCCAAACGGTTGTCTACATCGTATTATTACAACCAAAGAGTATAGCATTTCTGTACGAAGTGAACTTCACAATGATTGGTCGTGGTTGGTTTAGTTTACCATATCTTGCTCCAGTCCGGTGGGATCTATCAATGTCGTGGATATCAATGTCAATTCCAAGTTTGCTGTTCGCCATTTTAACAATAATTTCATCTGTATTTTCAGCATAGACTCCGGTAATCTAAACACTCCTAGGCTATTTCTCCGTGCTATTGTTCGAGATCATCCAGTTGTTCGGTTTGTTTTTCTAGCTTTTGCTGTAGTTCATTAATAACAGAGGTCTCCGAAGTAATTTTGGACGATAAACCGTCTTGGGTGTTTTCCAAATCAAACAGTCTGCTTTCAAAATTCTCAAGCTTGGTCTCTATTCTCTCTACAGCTTTTCTAACCGTTTTCTCTAATAGCCTAATAAAATATTTGCGTATCAAATATTGTAGATATGGAGTCTTTAATAATATTGGCAATCACTTGGCCTTTGAATGCCTTAATAATGCTGTCGTCAATCAGCTTTGATAGGTCTGGGCTGTGCATGTCGTCTGTTAACGTTGCTCGTACCTGTTTCGAACGACGAGTTATTTACGGGAAAAATAAAAAATTTCGGAAAACACTATGTATATTAACTTGCACTGCAAAAAACATATTTACTAATCGGGTCTGGGAGTTTTCTTTACTGAAAACGTGCCTGCCAGCGGCTGGCTGGGGCGTAGCACAATATTCTCCTCGATACGGTTCACAGAATAACTCCACTGATTAAAAACAGGCTTGTCAGCAGGCTTGTCAGCAGGCTTGTCAGCAGTTTTCAGCTAACAAGGTCTTTAATTATCTATTATTTGGGTATTTCCAGTACATTATTTTAATATAAATCATAGGTTGAGATTAAGGCATGCTTTAAATTATCTTTCACATAAAACTTCGGTATACGCATTTGATAAAATGACCCTAGAAACGACAAATACTGTAGTTAGAACGTTTCAAGTAGGTATGGTAAACTTGAAAATTACGCATGCTGAGTAGCTAGATTTTATATGGTTACAGTAAATGTAGGTGTGATTCGGTCGTAATCTTTACTCATACTATATTTATTTGGCCATGATTTCGCTGCCTGCTGGCTGCTGACCCATTCGGGGCCAGTGGCGCTACGGCACCATGCCGCTTGGCTTGCTGGCCACTTTTAAATAATTTTTACTATAGAAATTAATTTAAGTGACCGATCGTGTGCGACGGTCCCTTTGCCTTTTGTCGTAATAAATCACGACCGAATCCCACTATATCAGATTATGTGTTACTTTATTGTGTACAGTGAGTGGGCGGGCACACATATTTAATTCTTAGACCAGAAAGGCACAAATAAATTTTTCCGAGATCAGGGAAAAACTCTTTGTGTCAATAGGCGTAGGTACACCCCAATGGGTGCCGCTCGGTCCGCGTAGTAATTTCAATCTATTGCATTTCCTCGTGTGGATATACAACCGGATCCCTTTACTCGTTGCGGATTGAAATTACCTCGATTCGTGCACCGATAACTTCTTGGAAAGTCTTTTTCTCGCCTGACACTCCTTCCTCCTCCAATACACTAGGGCGCTACAGCACCCTGCCTCTTGGCTTGTTAGCCACTTTTTTAGAATTTTTACTATGGAAATTAATATAAGGGACCGATCGCGTGCGACGGTCCCTTTGCCTTTTGTCTTAATAAATCAGACCGATTCACACTATATCAGATTATGTGTATTGTGTACAGTGTATTGAGGGTGGTGGTCAAGAGTGGGCGAGTCCACATATTTAATTCTTGGACCAATAGACACAAAGTGATATTTACATAAGCCCCTGAGGCGTATGCAGGATTTGGTGGTAGGTAGTGCGCGAGAGTCCATACCACCTCAGCCAGACCATGATTGGGGCTGAAGTGAGAACATTTTGGGAATATGGACTTCTAGACTCTCTACCTTAAAATTCCTACCGGTAATTCATACAATACAACAATTATTCTTCTTAATACAATTAAGGGAGTCGCAATCGCACCCCCTGCATCGGGCCAAGAGCTCTCGAAGTCATTGGCCAAATTGACCAGGGAAATCACAATAGAGTGTGCTTAATTGTTACCATATTCCTTTGTATTCAAAAGGTATGACGCACTGTAAAAAAAAAACAAAAAAAAACCTTTGAATAAGAATAATATACGGAAAAACTACTACACAGAACTAGTTCTCTGTGCTTGCAAGTCGGTAGCTTTCCTCTACATACAGTGTAAGTTAATAAAGCCTACTAGATAGGATATATAATTATATACCGTATATAATATGTTAAAACGAATAGATAATGCGCTCAGATAGGACATGAGATGTTCCGCAGAATGCGTTCGTAAATAAGCTTACGCAAAAGGCAACCGAGAACCAGGAACTATACTGAAATATATATATATATATATAATCATGGAGAAAATAAAATAAAAATTTTATTTTCTCCATGATATAATTATTGTTCTCTCAGATTCTCAGTATTACAGTTGACTTCCTTATTATTGTTTATTTTGCATTGTTGTTTGTCACAAGCAATTTTATCGCCAGTCCTTTTTAATGCTTCCGACTGTTTATTAGTTTATCACTTCTCATTTACTAATTGCTGGCCTTTTATCTTACGACTTATCTTGGTTATTCACTTGATACTTTTAGTTTGATTTGTTCTGTAATTCTCATTCATACGTGTTAACGCTGAAGAAGGACACAGGCGTGTCCGAAATGCTTATATATAGGCCTTTATATATATATATATATATATATATATATATAAATTGAGCTTAAGAGAGAAGGAGAGAGAGGGGAGAGAGAGGAGAGAGACACAGGGGATTGAGATCTGGCAGAATATAAAGAATATCATTCAAGTTATGATAATCCCAAGTAGAGATTTAATTTCATACAAAATATCGGTCTTATTTTCAGTATATATATTGAACTAATTCTAATAAAAGATTGGTTTAAATTCTCAGTATGGCACTGTCTGTTACGTTCTGCTTATATACCATTCTCTTAATGGCCCAAGGAAACACATTGGATACACATATTGTTTTGGAAACTGGTGGCAATAGTAAAGTGTCGTTACTTGATAGAAGAAAACGTTTGGCCAATAATGATTTCGTATCTCGATGTTGGTATGTACACTTCATCTATTGTGTTATCATCATTTACTTTGTTTACCTATAGTATTTATTTACCTATTGTATTTATTTACCTGTGTTTTCATTAATTTGTTTGAATCTGTAATGGAGTAATAGGTAACAAACACCATGAGAGATGAACGAGAAGCTTGTGAGCTGTCTGGAAATTACAACGTATACAATCGTTTTTGATTAATAATAGCTCCATTCTGGCTAAGCCGTAACCCGCCCTTTTATTATTATCATTATTATTATCATCATTATTATTATTGCTTTGCCATCCGTATATCGGACAATCCACTGTGATGTAAATTTACACGTTTCCGCGTAAGTTTGTATATTATACGGTACATAATATAGTTCTTGCACAAGGGTTTCTTTATTCAAATTTTAATAAAAGATATAAACCAGAAACCAGAAGACAGAGATAAACAAATGTCAATTACATTATATAAATATAAAATATAACTTACCTTCGTTAGTTACGTATAGCACCCACAGCCATTATACGTTTAAAACTCATTTATTTTAGAAAATAATATTTTAATATGTAGGTATATGTAGAAGAGTTAACATCCTTTATACTTTTCATGTACAATGATTGATTTTGATATTTTGACAGGAATGATGTGAATGGAACCATTGTGAACAGCGTCCTACAAGGACATTGTCTGTATATCACTCAAAGTAAATATGAATCACAATAAACAATATATTTACTATTATATCACCTTTAATTCAGCTATTTATTACTATTATTATTATTATTATTATTATTATTATCATTATTAAGATGCATTTATATAACGCCTTTACAAAAAAGATCGAAGTATTGTGCATTAAAAACCTATGCTAAAGTTAATAACATTAAAACATTAAATATTGAATAATTCGAGAAACTATTTTAATATTTATTTCATTTCATTATCTATCTGATCATTTGCATCAACATATTCATCAACATGCCAGGCCACTCAAACTTTTTGAAGACAGTTTTTTCACAAACATCTTTTATCTTATTATCGGCAGAGAACATTTAACCCTAAAAATAGCATATTTAAAATAAAAAGAAACATTATTATTAAAATATTATTCAATTATTATTATTATTATTATTAATATTATGATTATTATTATTATTATTATTATTATTATTATTTATTATTATTATGGTTGTTGTTGTTATTGTTGTTGATGTTTTTACAGGCCTAATTATTATTATTATTATTATTACTATTATTATCATTATTATTTTTTTAAACTGTTGTTGATGTCGATGTTGTTATAGGCCTAATGTTCTTATTTCAATGATCTTCTTATTAAACTGCTATTAAGGGGACATTTTTTTGGAAGCGAATTGAGTTACAATATATCATTGAAAACTACGGCCTACGAACCACTATTCCACTATTCAGGCGACACCTCTATTAATGCAGTCAATTCTTTTGGTACCGATGGTGTCATTTTAATAGGGATTCTACTATATATAACATCCAAACTATTTATAATTTTAAATCTTGTTGTTATTTGTGCTTATAGATGAACGCATATGTTACAAGTTAATGCAATTAAGTGGCAATAATAATATGGAAGCCGTCGAAGAATGCACACGTACCGGTATTGGCTATGAGCTTGCAGATGTAAACAGCGCCGTCATTCTAGATGCAATTTCGGAACTTGTTAATAGACTAGTCAGCATTTTCGAGAGTGGTGGTATGTTTGCTGAGAGTGGTGGTAGTAGTGGTAGTGGTAGTGGTAGTGGTAGGTCAAGGCCTATGACAGCAAAATATTGGTTGCTCGTAAATTCTCCGTTGCAGAACGTCCCAAAGACAGGTGGTTGTTCAAGTTATGACGAGAATTTTTATCCTCATGCTCATGAATGTACATATCTTCAGATTGAAGAAAATGAATATAAAGTTGGAAAGTGCCCTTGTAACAACAGTCAGCATATAGATGGATTTATATGCCAAAGCAGGTTGGGTAAGTAACCTGAAACGAAGAAATTTTTAGACAATGAGAATAATGTTGCTGTGACCTAATTATTAAAAGAAGAATCTGCTAGTGCGAAAATTTGTACCAGAATTTGTAAAACGGGAACTTCTGCTGTTTATGCAGATGCCTTAACCAACTAACTAGGACATTGAGACTTTCGTTGGAAGTTCGAATTCTGATTGGAGGCACACTGATTAAGCATCTTAAAAGACAAGAGGAGATCTCCGAAGAAATACTTTTTAATAAGAAATGTAATATTTATGTCTTCCAGGACAGATGACTTGTATCATGATTTATATAAAAGTGTTTCTTAGATTCAATCTCGTCGTTAAATATACTTAAGGAAAAAATGTTTAAAATTGATAATACGTGTGCATATAGAAGTGTCGCTATTAGATGCCTATGCAAAATCTGTGAATGAGTTGCCGGTTATCGAATTCAAATTCCCAACGAAGCCTCAGAGGCAGGACCAGCATAAGAGCCCGGGAGATCTACATTGGTGATATGTCAATCTTTGTGTGACCATAAGACTGGGATATAAGCTGGCCGGAGCATAGGTTGATTTCATAATATGCCAATGATACTTGTATAGTTTTTAAACAGTATTACACCTATTTCTCGTTACTATGTTAGCGCTGCTTACTTTTTATACATCCATTTATTTGACGGATACATACGCAATTTTACTTCTTAATATATAATTATTTTATGTAGAAGTAACACGAGATACACCGACGACAACATTGACCAATATATTTCCCGATGATGATGACATCACCACAATAGATTACAAAGTGTCGTCAGGGGTTACTTCTACGCATCAGCCAGAACAAGAAGTATCTAAGATGTCGAATGTTACACTAATATTAATTGCTTCAGCAGTAGCTGTCGTTTGTATGGCTGTTTTAGTAATCTTATTGCTAAAAAGACGAACCTCTACGAAGGGTGTACCAGGTACGAGTCCTCTAAAACAAGAGATACATGGTAACAGTTGCTAATAGTTATATGACTTTTTCACTAAGCCCCGAATCTTGGACATTGTTGCTAAAGTCTCACAAAACGACAGTTTAAAAATAAACGCACACACGTGCGTTTGTGTGACAACACGTTTGTTTGTTGGGATGTGCGTATTCCTGGCACTATTCTTAGTGGTCAGTTGTTAAGTTTGATTTGCACTCCAGAAAGGTCATTGCTATAAACAGTAAAACCATCTCCTTAAAATATGAAGCAAATTTAGGCACTAACTATTTATGAAACCATGTTAATATTTATGAAAGTATTTTAATATTATTAAATTATTCTGTTATATTAATTGTTAAAAAAAATATTAATTAGATATAAGTAAAATATTCAAGAAGAAATTTGATCATAATTTAAGTGCAATGAAAAAGGGATCAAAGAATCTTAAATATGTTTTTAAGAAGCTACAGCCTTCAATCCACATTTTTAGTAGGTCGACATTGATCGCTATAATCTATTGCAATTTAAACAAACCATTAAGGTGCTCGGAAAACTTGGCGTCGCCATTCTGTAAATACTAAGTACACACTGATTTCTTATATATAGTACTGTAATTCTCGTTGGTGGAATAAAATAGACATAAGTGTACATGTCTATAAGAAGAAGAATCATAATAATAATAATAATAAAGAATACTGATAATCGTAATAATATCTAATGTTCATACTGGTCATATCAATAATAATATTTATTGTAATATTATTAATTATAGGTCAAATGATAATAATTCTGTTAATGAAAACAGTTAAACACTTGAAACTACGAGATTAAGCTACGAACTGTAGGTTCTATGCTACAATTGTAAGCGTTCTTTAATTATTTTCTTCTCTTAGATGTACCAACAACCCAAGTAAAGCAGGCAGGACATGGTGATAATTCTTCAAACCAATATTCCAACTATGGAGCTTCTTTACCAGGAGACTATGTACAACTTAGTGATATTACGCAGAAGATCCATAACCCGAATTACATTGTCGTAGATGGCGATGTTTATAATAATCAGTACGAAAACCCAATGTTGCCAGTATCGGTTGAAAATTCCAAAGCTGAAAGTCTATTAAATGACCCTCAACATGACGTGGTACACCTCGAAGAAGTGGGGAATATTAACCCTCAATATGACGTGTTAAACCGCGAAAAAGAGGGAAGTCTTGACCCTCAGTATTATGTGTTAGACCGTGAAAAAGAAGAGAGTTTTAATACTCAATATGACATGTTAAACCGTGAAAAAAAGGGGAGTCTTCATCCTGAATATGACGTGTTAAACCGCGAATAAGAAGGGAGTTTTAGTCCTCAATGACGTGTTAAACCCCGACGAAAAAAAAGGGAAAGCAATCACCAGTTGCATACCCTGAAGATGTAGAGAACAAAATGCCCAAAGATGAATATTTTTGTGGTGACTTCAAACAGTGAGAATTTAGTTTGATTAAATTTAGTTATTAAGGTCTGTCCAGATTATCATTTTTATTCGTCGACAATAAACTGTTGTATGAGCATATATAGTCATGATATGCCTATATGGTCATGATAGCATCATGTCCATAGGCATGCTACAGGGCTTTAAGCTCTGTCAAAACTATCAACTTTGTTTTGACTAAAACACTGTTGTATGCCCGTATGTGAAAATATATGGTCAGGATGTGATGTCATCATGTCAATATTTAAGCATGCCATATGTTTTGTCAAATACAATTTGATCGTCTGGACAGGGCTTTAAGTTCTGTCCGGATTATAAAATTTTCGTTGATCAGCAATTGTTGTGTTCCCGTATAGTTATGATGTGCCTCTATTTTCATTATGTGATGTCAACATGACCATAATTAGGCATGTCACATGCTTTGTTAAATATAATGTTATACTGTAGTCTAAAAATAGCTTTACAATTTGTCGTATTCAAATGAGAACTTTCGTACTCAACAGAGAATCTTATTCGTTGAGTTTGTACTTAACGTTCGAAATACTTCGTTGAGTTTGTAAATAACGTGGCTAACATACCGCACTCAACGGTAAAGTCCAAATTGAATACTGTACGCCAAATAAGAAAATATGAAAAAATACACACTACATATTATACATAAGTTCTCGTTTGAAAATATTATATTAGTGTCATCAGTTTTTTTAAATATATAATCTGTCTATATATACACACTTATACTGATAACAGCTTTGTTTGATTGAATATCCACCAAACATATTTTTACAACAATATTGAGGTGGATTGTATTCTAATTTGGCTGCTAAAAATTGTAACATATCATTTTATATATATTTTTATATTTGGTAAACTAATCAATAAATTAATTTCTCAACAAATCAATCAATCAATTAACCAAACAACCGACCAACCAACCAACCAACCAACCAACTAACCAACCAAACAACCAACCAGCCAACCAATAAAGGAAGTATTTTTCCATACCATACAAATCAAGATACTTTTGGTTTTAGCTTAAAAAATAAAACTACATACTTCTAAAGAAAAATATTCAGTAGTTTTGTTTGAATTGTTTATATATCCTTAAAAAGATGGAAATATTTAAATTATTTCCTATTGTATTATACTGTAGTTGCATTTTATGTATAAAATTAAGTTTACTGTAAATATTGGCCTTAGTACTGTCCTTGTATTAAACTATCATCTATTTACATAAAGCAATATATCAGCTAATTTTGGTCTTATTAAATGAAATAAAGTTTTAAGACACATCGTAAAATATATAATAATTTTGTTAGAAGTTGTAATGGTTTTCGAAGATTTAATTTTATACACTTTTATAATATTTTACATTACATATAGATGGGCAATGTGATGGTGATGGGAATGATATGTTTGTAATGATGATGATGATGATAATGATGATGGTGATGATGATGATATACTGATGATGATGATGATGATGATGATGATGATAATGATGATGGTCGTGGTGTTGATGATGATGTTAGTGACTATTATGATGATGATAATGAGGATGATAAGTGAGGTGAAGTCACTGACTTTGTTGTTAAAAAAAAAAGAAACCTGCCCAAAAAGACACCGATTAATCTACCAAAACGACATAAAACAGAATTATAATTGTACTGTAGTTAAAAATCGCCATATTTTCCGTCCCTGTAAATATTCCGATCCCTTGTTGCTTTATAGGGCACAAATCCGCACTGCCTTCAAGATCGTTTAGTGTGGTGCCTCCTTTTCTGTTATTTCAAGGTTTTCGGTCTACAATCATTACACGCACTCTTTTCAAACACATTCCAACGCAGATATGTTGCTGTCCTTTCCATCTTCTCTCGTTATTTTTGGGTAATGCTGCTCTGTTCCACTAAAATAGATCATCCCTCTACTATTTCTTCGTGCCCATGTAACCAGGTCTACTAGCAGCCTCTCTTAACTGTTTTTTTTGTCGGAACATTTTCTAATAAAAAAACATTAAAAAAAATATAAAGTGGTTTCCACCATATATAATGAGCCATGTTATAACAAGTGGTATTTACATAAGCTCTTGATATCATCAGCCAAATAGGCATGGACATACAATAGAATGTGATTATTTCTAATTCGTTTGTGTTCAAAAGTTACATGACGCACTCTACTCATCCCTTTGAATTTAAGATATTGAAATAAGGGATAATCGCAACAAAGATCGATGGCTTAGCTCTACGTACAATTTAAGTTAATAAAGTTTACTAGAAAAGATATTAGATACATACGTACATACATATATATATAGGCCTATATTATATTATATTATATTATATCTGTCTCTTATACACATCTTGTACATGTCTATAAGAGATTCGAACCCTGAAAATTCTGCTGTCTATGCAGACACCATAACCAACCAGGCCAATGAGGCTTTAGTTCATATATTTTTGTTACCGTCTTCTGTTTTCATTAACTTCTTTGAATCTGTAATGGAGTAAAACGTCACAAAACACTATGAGAGATGAACGAGAAGCTTGTAGGTGTTTCGAAAGTACAGTGTGTACAATCGTTTTTGAATAATAATAGCTTCATGCTGGCTAAGCCCGTTTATTATTATTATAATTATTATTATTGCTTTACCATCCGTATATTGGACAATCCACTCTGACATAAACGTACACGTTTCCGCATAAGGTTGTATTATTAATGAGCGTTTGTAAAAAAATAACCCGAAACCTTGAACTATAAGACAAATATCGTGCTCGCACAAGTACAATTAAAATGTTAATACAAAGATGAAAACCAGAAACCAAAAGACAGAAACAAATATTAATTACAGTATATGTATATACAGGGGTATAACGTAACTACTACCTAGGCCTAAGATAGCAACCACAATCATTATACGTTTAAAACTCATTTGTTTCAGAAAATGATATTTTGATATGAAGGTAGGCCTATATTTACAAGAGTTAACATTCTGAGTTAACAATCAATGAAGTATTTTTTTTTATGGAGAATGATTTTAATATTTTGACAGGAGTGAAGTGAATGGAAAGGTGAACAGCATGCTACAAGGAAATTGTCTATATATTACTCAAAGTAAATATGAATCACAATAGTCACTATGTTATACTATCATCTTTAATGAAGCTATGTATTATTATTATTATTATTATATTATTATTATTAATAATAATAATATAATAATAGTAATGATAATAAAATAATAATAATAATAATAATAATAATTATTATTATTATAATTAAGAAGCATTAATATAGCGCCTTTACAAGATACAAGATACAAAGTAGCTTTATTATCAAATTAAAATTTGATACTGATAGCAACACAAAATACATAAAAAAACAATAAACAATGAAACATACGATATATATAGAAAACAATAAAATGTAAAATAATATACGTTGATGTGGAAAAGGTATTCTCAAGTACTGTTATACTTCAGAGACAGGCCAGATTTACAAAAAAAGGTTCAAAGTGCATTAAACATATACCAAAGTTACTAACATTAAAACCTTACTTATTGAACAATTCGACAAATTGTGTTATTGTTTTTTTTTTCTTCATTATTTTGAATTCCATGATCCGCCACTGAATAATATTATTACCAAAAAAATTGATGAAGTAACAAACAACAGATTAACTTTAAAACAATCACGACACTATAAATGATGTTCATGTCGGGCGTCTACCTGAGTTTCAATTTGCCATAGGCCTAGTGCTTGTTAGGTAAAAATGAAACAAATATGTTATGGCAGTTTCAACTGTCATAAGTGTGGAGAATGTACACAGGCAATCTTATTTATGAAAAAATAGTGACACGTAATATTAGACAGAGTTGACAAAACAGTTCATGAATAAATATAAAGACAAAACAAATAAGAAAAAGAACTGAATCAAAATTATAAAGTTAAATTAAAGTTATATTACAGATGTAATAGTATGGAAACATGTTTTATACAATTATTTTATGTAGAGGTAACACGTGACACACCGACGACACGATTAGTCAAGATATTTACCGACGATGACATGGCCACTAGATTACAAAGAGACGTCAGGTGTTACTTCAACATAACAGTCAGAACAAGATGTATCTAAGATGTCGAATGTTGTTATACTAATATCAATTACTTCATCGGCAGCAAACGGTACGGTACGGGAACATGCTTGTCACGACACCTATTGACACGAGTCCGTAAACATTTAGTCCGTGACAGGGCCTCTCATATTTTTCAACATTTGCAGAGCTCGGGATCCTGTCGACAGCTTTCTGCTGAAAGTTGCTTCACTGTTCTAGACTCTGCGAATACACCCTATCAACTGAAACTAAAAGAAGATTTACATCTGAATTGGGAAAAACCTTCCCTAAACAAACAATTCAAATCAAATCAAATCAAATATGCCTTTATTTTCCATACAATACAGTAATACAGTATATAATAAGAATGCAAAATGAAACAAATACATTGTATGGAAGGAGGCTACAGTAAGTTCTAGTAGAGCGACGTAGCCACCTTTAACAAAACAGTTGGGAAAGTGACAGGTAGGCCCTACCAATGCTTAGCTGTATTTAAACTCATATAATCACAGAATGATATACCAATAAAATTATAATAATAATTATAATAATTCCAATCCTGTTTTGAACACAAGACCAGACACATTATTTCAAGACTCAAATAGAAATGAGAGGAAGAAAAGAAAAAAGATAATTAATTAATTACCATACACCGAGACTAAAGTCTTCTTAAGATGATATTTAAAACTATTTAATGTAAATGTTTTTTGTGGGTCATCAGGAACATTACCCCATAATTTCGGACCCCAAAACTGAAAAACGCCTGATACTAGATGTGCACGGAGTACGAGAAATATAATTGATGCTAGAAAATCTTGCATTATATTGATGATGTTCAGATGCTCTTGTATAAAGATTACTGATGTTGGGTGGTAAAGTATTATGCGATAAACGATACATAAAAGCAGCAGTTTGGATTGTATTTAAATCATATACATGTAAAACATTAAAGTGATAAAAAAGGACGCACTTAAGGCCTAGTTCAGACTAGGTGGATAAACCCGGCTCAGCTCACCGGGTTTATCCACCGGCCAGTCTGAACTAGGTGGTTAATCTCAAGCCAGGCTGTGTTCCTATAGTAACTAGGCCTGGCGTGCCACCGTGTATAACTTTTCTAAGCCGGGCTTTAATCGTTGCGGTTGGTCTTGCATTGACTTCGGTTGACAAAATGACCAATCAGCATTCAATTACGTACCCTGTGAGCGAGCGTACGTTTCGTGAGCAATGTTTTGAAACACGTTTCCTGGTTACGGTTCATTATTATGCAAATTTTCGCCTGGCTAACCAGGCTGAACGTTGAGCCGGGCTTAACTCAAGCCTGGCTTATCTCCAAGTCTGAACGTAACCTAAATATCACGCTTTCTTTTTAGCTTTCTAAAGTTTTTAATATCCTGTTTTGTCGGATCTAGGCTAGATGGTCGAAATCCAGTTTGCCGAATGCCAGATTGCCGAGACCACATTGCCGAATGCCAGTTTGCCGACTCAAAAACAATGAACCCCAGTTGACCGAAACCCAGTTTGCCGAACCCAGTTTGTCGAGTTGCCCAGTCTAGCATTAGTACAGTAGATTTGAAATTGGTGCCTAAGATTATAAAGCCTAAATCACTGATAGTATGGCTTGGTAAATTGAAATGGTGAGCGACAGGAAGCCCTTTTGATGGTCTTAATTAATTTTTTTTGTGGTTGTTAAATCTGAGTTTACATTCGATTTCGCCTACATAATTGCTGTTTATTACATTATTACTTCAAAATAGTAGCGTGCTGTGCTTTTGTACGATGTTGACGGTAAAATTCAAATAATAATAATAAAGATTTATAAAGCGCACATCTCCACCAAAGGTGCTCAAGGCGCATAGACAATTAAACCAACAAGATCCAAATAATTCACAGAAGAATTTTCAGCAA